TCCACGCTCTTTCTTTTATACCACATTCAATTAGCATGAGAAGTACTGTGTTAGTCAGAAGAGGAGGCAGATGAGGATTTAGTGATATTCCTCCATCTCATACTTGCAATCTTACCCTACTGTATGGGTTCAAAATGAGACAATTTTATTTATAAAGTGAAATCTTATTTCTAAGTGTGAAAAGTAATATCCTGCTGATACCTGGAGTCCAGTGTCTGATTCTGAGGCCTGTCTTTGGGGTATATCCATAAAAGCACAGCTAAGAGGGTCAGAATTCTCAGTGTTAGGGAACTAAGAACTAAGATGCTCCACTCATATGATTCTTGAACCAAATCTGTGAGGTAGGTATTATTATTACCATTTTAAAAAAGAAAACTGAAGCTAAGACAGATTTAGAACTTGTTCAAGGTTATATCTTTTTTTTTTTTTTTTTTTTTTGGCCAGGGATCAAACTTGGGACCTTGCACTTGTGAGGCAGGCAGCTGAGCCACTGAGCTAAATCCCCGGCGCAAGGTCATATCCAGTAAGTGATAGAACTGGGTTTTGAACATAGGGCCATCTAAATCGTGAGTCCTCACTTTCTTCCATGGAGTTTCCTCACCCTCATGTGAAATGGTGGAAAAGAATTTGAGCTATTTATTAATTGGTGAAGGGCAAAAATAGCCAACTTCAAAAACTCTACAAAGCATTCTGCATTCAGAGGGGAGAATTTGAATTACTTTAGCAGTCTCCAGGAAGTAGTTCATCTCAATAGATGAATATTATAGTGATAGCATTCACTGGACAGATTTTTAGGTAGCAAGACAATTGTCATGTCTGGGGTTATTCAAGCATAGTCTGGAAAGGTCTTTGTTACAGTGGGGAGATCTGGGTGGAGAACCTCCAATATCTCTTCTGAGATCTCCAATCTCTCCAAAAGAAGTGATGGAATATCTGTTGCTGTGTCTATCTGCAGGCATAAAAGAAAAATTGTATGTCCAAAGTAAACAAACTTGTCTATAGGAACCCTAAATACAGAAAACAAAATGGATTCTGTGAGAAATGCTTAGGTTTTAAAGTTTTTCTTTTCTATTAAGAAGAAACCAAACTCTGCAGAGTTGCTCAGTCTTAGTAATAACTACAGAAAGTATAACAAGGTACTACTTTTCACGAATTAAGGTGGCAGAATAATTTAGAGTCATCATATGCATTCCATGTGTAAAGAATAATAGAAAGGCCATTCCCTGTTGACTGAGGTGAAACCACCCTAGGAAAACATAAAGGGAAAAACCTACACAACACAAACATCTCTGAGTTATCTTCACAAACAATCTAAAGATCTGTCACAAGGCCAATAGCAGCTGGTGCAAGGGGGTGCTAGAGGTAGGACAGAGGAGCAGAAGACAGAAAGTGAGCCTAGTCAGCATGCACTGGGGACATTTTAGGGTTCAATAACTGTGAAATAAGCCAAGACATCTAGAGAGCCAGGTATGCAATACAGGGTCACTGTGTAAGAGGTCAGCAAGTTATAGACAGGATAGGAGCATACTAAGGTGAGGAATGAACAGGTATAGGGAGGGGATGGGAGAGAAGAATCCCAGTATTGATGCTGCTAGCCATTTGTCCACTCTTGCTGGAGTACTTTTATTATATATTCAGTTCTTCTAACAGCCCTTTAGCTAGATATTAATTTCCTTCATTTTGCAGATGAAGAATAGATGTTAAGAAAGATGAAGTAACTTGTTTCAAGCAAGGTAGCAGGTGCTAGAGTTGAGAAGTGAACTCTAATGCATTTACTGTCTAACTTGAGTTCATCACATCCCCATGCTTGGTGACAGTGTACGGTGATTACCTCCGTGCACTGACAGATCTGTGGATTGGCCCCTCTCCTGGGCTGACCAGATGGTTTATCCAGTTGTAGCTTTATATCTTTTATGAATGTCACAGAGCAACATGGAAGCAGGTTGAATGCACAGGGAAGGCTACTGACCCAATCAGAAGCTAAGGTCACAGGTATATAAAATATATATTTAGACCCTTCAAAAACCCACAATACTTTCAGTAGTGCCATATGGAGAGTTTTTTCCAAAAATTTCTATAAAGTAGGTTTTTATTCTTCATATTATGATAAAGTCCTAATTTACAAATGCTACAAGAAACCAGTAGGAAAACAAAAGTCACCAAAAACACACCTTACTTAGCTAAGAAATCAAGTCAAACCCCACTTGTTTCATCTGATGACAGAGAACTTGTGCCCAAGGCATCTGAATGAAGGCTTTGCCCAAACCTCATTAATTCAGGTTCTGCCAATTCAGTATTAACCATCCTGTCCTATGAGACTCACTGGCCTGTCAAAGGCATCAAAAGAATCTAAGTGTAAAAGTAAAGGGAAAATTACTGGAGCCTAGACAGACATTCATATTCTGCAACAAATCCAACTAAATTGCATTTGGGGAGCAGAAACATAACAAGTTATATGGTAGATCCCAGTTTTGATAAATTTATTCTCAATTTCAAATACCCCCAGGTACTTCATGACCATCCACTTGCTGTTATTTACTTAGGAAACACTCTTATTCCTTTATTAATGCAGATCTTCTAATGAGTTCTGCTGAACTCACACTTTCCCAGTGATACTTGTATTAAAATACACATTTCAAATCTTACCCCAGACCTACCAAATCAGGCTTTCCAAGCTAAAGTCCAGGAATCTTTATTTTAAACACCTCAATGAATGCTTAAGATAGGGTAAGTCTGAGAAACATTCTACTACACAAAATGACTGGGTTTTTCGTGTTTTCTGTTTTGAATGCAATTTATGCTTATAATGGTAATGTTATTCCCAATACCCCCAAATGGCCTGAATTAATGAGACAAATTATCACTGACTACTTAGGTTCGATCACTCATAAACATATCCTGAGATTACATGGCTAGATTCATAGGTGGACCATAATTTTCCACTCATTTTCAGGGAAGAGATAAAGGATAATTTTTGCATAGAGCTAAATTCTAGTCTAGTCCCACAGCTGATAGCCCCAAGACCTCAGGCAGGACACTACTTTAGTTTTTCCGAACCCACTTATTTGTGTGGGTTTAGGATTGACTGTCTCGCCCTCCTATCACAAAAGCAGATACCAAGAACATGACAGGGGCTCAAAACCATCTCACTAAACTACTAAGTGAGATCTTCTGTTCCCCATTAGAATTGGCCCTTACAAGTGTATTTTGCCTTTTGCATCTATTTCTGATTTCATTCTGCCTTGTGTGCTAGAGATAACTAATATCTGCATGTCTTTGTGATTTACAGCTTCCTTTTCCCTGGTATTACCTAGATTGGTCTCCACAATAACCCTGAGTTAGAGATCATTATCAGAAGTCAGTTGACATGCCTAGAAGTGGTAAAGTGAGGACTTTAACCCAGATCCTTACAGTCATTCACAGGCCTTTACTGTCCTTAGCATATGCACCATACATTACACAAAGCACTTTCACATTCATCAAGGCATTTTTATTGTAGGGATTTCCACAACCATTTCTCCACTACCTAAAAGCACCTACAAAGAAGGGTCCATATTGAATTAGCCTGAAGGGAATGGACAGAGCCTCCGGGTGTTTGTATTTTCACCATGCTTAGGAAGAAAAGAAGATGAGTTCAGGAAAGATGCATATTTTTTTCCAGGTCTGTCATGCATCCCATACGACTCATGCCCAAGCTGCCCCATGCCATAAAAATGAATATATCTTAACAACAAGAATTTATTGAATACCTATTAATGTCAAGACCTTTACTTACCTCATGAAGGAATTAACCTATTTTAAACACTTAGAAAAGTCCTGATACATAGTCTGTTGCTATTACTATTTATCTGTACAGCATGTGAGGTAGGCATTATTTTCCTCATAATACTGATAAGGACACTGGGAAATTAAGTGATGGGCCCCAAATCATACTGTTAGTCTGTGCAGTAAGTACAAACCTATTTGGGTAGGAAAATACCATAAAAGGAAATTCTCTTCTATACCTCCTATTAGTGAACGTTTAATAGTTCTTGTTACAAGGGATTAGTTAGCTTACAGAAATAAAAGTTCTCAAGGTGGCAGCCACCTTCCTTTTATACTACTCCAGGATCCCTGAGCTTTCGCTTACATATCACTGATTAAAGGATAAGAAAAAGTAGAGGCTGAAATTTTCCAACCAATGACTAAAAACCATAAAAAATGAGTAACAATTGCCAACATTTGATGAACACTTCCCATATGCTATTTCTAATCTTTTAGTAACTCTGCAAGGTAGGTATTATTTTCTTTTTATGGAACAGAAAACAGAAATTTGATTCAGAAAGATTTGGTTAAGCCCAAAGCAATCAGGGGAGCTAGACGTGGAATCTAGAAGTATCTCTCCCAAGCCCTTGCCCTTTTTAAATGCCATGTTTACTTCATAGGCATTACAGAAAGGAAAGTGCAAATCAACAGAAAGACAGAATATGGTTTGCCAAAATGTGTGCCAGACACCTTAGAGATTCCGTAACTGAAGAATGATAGAAATTATATAACTTGAAAGATCATTTGATATAAGGTAGGATTAACAAACTGATACCAGGTGACACTGCCTGTACTTTCTGAATGCAATGCTATGCCACACCTAACACCCCCCCACACACACACATATATGCCCTTTTCTTTACAAAGATTGGTTCAAATTATCAGGGAAACCAAATCCCAGATCATATTGCAAAAGCAGTTGGTTCAAGATCTGTCCTTTGAAGTCAGAGAAAGTGATCTGTTTTTGAGACAGCCCTTCAGAGCTGCAGACACAAACCACATCCCTTATGAATTTTTCTCCTTCAGACTGAAGTTTTATCCTCTGAAAGAAAGGATATTTCAGGCCGCATATCACACTAGTCATCTCCACTGTACACTTAATATTCTAAATACATGAGAATAATGATTGTCTACATCAAGAATTAATGAAGTTTTATTATAGAACAAAATAGAGGAAGAGACAGAAGTTCTTTGATGGCAAAAATATAAGTTCAAAGTCCTTGTCAAGTGACAGGCAGCTCGGAGACGCTTTACCACCTGAGAAGAGTGTGTGCCAGTCCCCACATGACTGGCACTGGTGGCGCCAGGCTGTTGCTTGAATTCCAGCAAATCCATCTGCCTTCTCTGGAGTAGGAAGTCCAAGTTCACAGCGAGCCTTGATCCCAGAGCCCTACCAGGTCCCTACCAGCACACCATCGTGCTCAGCGGGGAACGATTTGGGTAGCACCATTGCCTGCAGATCGCATGCCGCGCAAGGAAAACACAAAGGCTTTATGAAAAATCTGAAGTTTATTGCAAATTGTATTTTGCTTCCCTTCGTTCTTCATTTTTACAAGATTTATTGATATCCATGATTTTTTCACAGATGTACTTGTTGACTTTGGAGAGTCTCTGTGCAATTTCAGTTTCATCCACAGTTTCTTGTGCTATTCTGTCATACAAACACTCTGGACATAGAGAAGAAACAAGGCCAAGGATTAACGGTCAATTGGAGAACAGAGGGATGAGCTTCCTCACATACTTCACAATATACCAATTCATGTATCTCATGCGCTATGTTTTAAATTTTGTGCTGTAAGATGTATTTAGAAAATAGCTACACACTCTAAATTTAGACTTTAAAAAAAAACAGCAAAACATACATGGGCCACTGCCTGGCTTAATCAGATATGTATGGTTCCTCTGAAACCCAGGGGTGTCCTCCTCTCCCCTTATCTCCCTCCTGCTCCCCTCTACTTCCTTCCCTTCGCTCTCCCTCGTCGCATGTCCATCAGAGATAACTACTCTCCGGAATTTCTTCTTCTCTTTTCAAATTAACATATATAAATATATACTCAAATAATACGTTGAGATTTCCTGTTTTCAGCGTTTTTGTGGCCATCTCTATATACCCTTCTGACCTACTTATTTCACTCAATGTTATACGAGATTTACCCACGTCCAAGTGTGAAGCTTGAGTTCTTTCATTTTTACTCACAGTAGTGTTTGACTGTGTGGCAGCACTACACTCTGTTTATCCATTTTATTGTCCACAGATAATTAGTTTCATAATTACAAACACCCTTGCACATGTCCTGGATATACATGCAACAGATTCTCTACTATCAGCCATGGCGTGGAAGTGCTGAAGGTTAGCGTGTGTGCATACTCAACTTTGCTGCTGCTGCGGGGTGGGGGGGTGCCTATTAAATGGTTTGTCAGAGTGGCTGTTCTTACTGCATTCTGAATAGTAATATACACAAGTGCCGGTCACCCTGTATCTTATGGTTTAGACAACCTGGTGCATGCAGAGTAACAGCTCACTGTGATGACTGCTAATGAGGCTGAGGATGGTTACATGCGTACGGAGTTTCTTCATCATTTGCTATGATGAAGCAGAGTCAGTTTCACACAAGGCCTGATTGTAGCCTCCTTTTCTGTCAGTCCTCTACCCTGGAGACCGGGCACAGATTGCTGCCTCACAATGCTCACCTCAAAAATAAGGATAATAGTGCTGGGAGTGGTGGCGCATGCCTGTAATCCCAGCACTTGGGGGCTGGAGTTTGAGACCAGCCTGGGCTACACAGTGAGTTCCAGAGCAGTCTGAACTACATAGCGAGACCCTGTCTCAAAGCCCCCCCCAGATAAATAAATAAAAAGGATAATAAACTAAGGGGTATCAGTTCATAGATGCCAAGAGATATGTGGGGTAAACATTTTATAAGCCTTTTTCAAACTATAAAGAATTGCTATATCTGTGTGGCATTACGATTATTTTATGTATATACAACTGTTTATTGCAAGAGCTTAGCACAGAACTTTGCAAGTGAACAAGATTAAGTAAATATATATTGAATGAATGAATGAATGGCTGAATGGATGCTTCTCCAGGAAAACTTGAGGACAAAAATTCTGGACACGAGAGGACCGGGTGCGGGTATGGGTGTGGTGTGTAATCATGGACAAAAACTTTAACTTCTTTGACCCTGAGATTCCTCACCTATAGAATGTAAATGACAACCCAATCTTAAGAAGCTGCTATGGAGAATAAGCAAAATCTTGACTTTAACAAGCCAGCTGAGGGCAGGCAATAGGAGATACAGAGGATTAGCAGTAGGAGGGAAGACACAGACTAAATTGTGCTAATCCATCCACTCTTACGTGAGAAGACGGTTTTGGAGAGATGGAGTCAGTGCAGGGCAGGAGCCCTACGACTCATCACACCTTGTCTTTCCTGGGCACAGAGCCAGCCTGCCCACTACTGCCACCCCTGCTACAAGTGAATGTGCAAGTGTCATCTTTGTTTGGGCCACCTGTTCCTCCCCGTTGAGAGAGGGTTTCACAGAGAGATGGCTTTAAAAGCTTTTAATTGATCTCTACTGCTTCCTGCCCAGTCACAATCATCATCAGTTCCTCTTGTCTTCTTCCTTCCATAGGTCAGAGAGACAAGAAGGTAGGGGACTCTGCCTCTCCAGCCCCACTTCTGCCACGTCCACTGCAACTCTCTTTGCATTCCACGCCATCCAATCAATCAGTGTCTTTTCTCATCTCTGCCAAGAATACTCTGCCTCCACTCCTCACCTGCCTAAGTCCTACTCATTCTTTTGGATGCAGACTTCTTGGAACTCATTAGATTTGCATTAAGAGACACCGGTCTACCTACAACACTGTTCATTCACACCTATTTGAAGTTCCCTATGGAAGCACTGGTCATGAGCTCATAAAACTGTAACCACATCACCTCCCCCCAGCACTCAGGACACTTCCTCGTTCCCTTTCCAACTCTGGACCAGAAATAAGCAAACACTCATGGCGACCTTGTTGGAATCTGCACCAGATGAAGAAGATGAGCTGTGATAAGATGTTCAGGGGCTCAAACATGCTCTAACCCTAGATAGTGTGCAATCTTTAGGGAAACATTTCTGGGACTCCATTTCATTATCCATGGAAGTGGATTACCTAACCAGACTACCCAACAAGATCATCCAGCTTTAACTCTCTGGTTGTCTGAAAGGTAATAAGGGCAAGAGAGAAAAGCAGAAGGCTCGGAGTAGATATGATGTCCTCAGTACTAGCAGGAATCAGAGAAGAGTAAGAAAGAGAAGGGTGTAAATGAGGAAGATTTTCCAAGAGTCCCCTACAGAATTCCAATCATTTTCATTTCCTGAGGGTAACAGCTTTGAATGGGCCCTCAGGTTGATTAAAAGGCTTTTGTTAGACTCTGGTTATTAATCACCTGCAGTTGCCGGGAATGTCTCCCTCTGCGAGGGAGCATTTGAGATTATTGCTTAATTAACAAGGTTTATAACAGCGCTAATGTGTCCTATTAAAGAAGTTATAAAAATTAACCAGAACGCAATGCTGTGGCTCATTTAGAAAACTCAGGCACTCTGCAAAAGGTCATTCGACCTTAATAAGGATGAACTGTCATCCTGGAGCTTGTCTTTACAGCAAGACTGCATCAGCAATCCTGCTTTCATCTTTCTAAATCAGGGTCTGTGTTTGCCCCATCCTTCTGCTAGCCTGTAAGGAATGATTTTTAACATCAAAGAAAAGAGGAAATCCTCCTCAACCCTGTGAGCATAAAGGCTCTTGCCATTTTTACACTGTAAATGTGACTAACTGTGATAAAATTATACAAAATAAATACAAACAATCTCGATACAGCCAGACAGCTTGTATGGAAAGAACCAGCCAAATGAAATCTGGTACAGCACAAATAATTAGGCTAAAACTGGTGATAATATGATGTGATGGGACACAGACTTCAAACGTATCTTCCTGTACTTAAAAAAATTTGTGTTCCAGTAAGACAAGACACTCCCGGTGACAACACAAGGCCTGGCATCCAGTTCAGTTTGGCAGTCTTTAATTAGTTGTATGTCCTTGAGCAAGTTTTTCTTCTCATCCACACACACAGGGCAAGTAAGTGTTTTACAGCCTCTAAAGCAGGTGTAGATGAGGCTCCCAGGAGGTGAGGAAGAAGCAGGGAGAACTGAGGTACGTTTTGGTGCTTCTGGACACATGAGAAAAGCACCTACCATTTACAAGGTCAGAAATGGCCTTCTGAAGGGAGCCTCCAAACAGATCTGGGCAGCAAGTATCAATTAGCTGGCCAAAGGAGAACGGCTGGGGACTGGTGTGACTGCGTTCCCAGGCACCAGAAAGAGCATTTAGGAATTCCTTAAGGTGATGGAGAACAAGGCTTGCTCGGGGAATAGTAGTTCATTCTGGTAATAAATTAGAGTTCAAAGGCAATAATGTTGAAAAATAATGCTGGAGATATGGCCAGAAGTTGGACTGTGAAGGTGCTTTTATGATATATTGAGACACTGACCCTTTAATAATGAATACTGTGAATCAGCTGTGATGGGGCAGTGGTAAAGGGATCATATCTGGTTTCTGAAAGATCACTCTGGTCATACAATGGGGAGAGGCATCTGGAAGCTGCTGAAGTAGTGCAGGAAAAAGAAATCTGGCTTGAATTATGAGGGGCAGGAAGGTATGGGAGCAATGGAAGAAAGTACATGGTGGCAGGACAAATTGGGAAGGAGGCATGTGGGAGAGGCAAGGGTGAAGCCTGGGTCCCCGGTTGTGTCCTGCACCAAGACAGAGACCACAGAAGGGGCACAAGACTTCATGGAGGAGAAGGAGGAAGAAGGGGAGGGGAAGGAGAAGAATGGTATAGCTTTGCAGATGTCACGTAGACACCCATGAGGACCCCATCAGAGTGAACCTAGATATACACACCAGGAACACAGAAGTGTAAAGCCATGTCAAATACAGGTTAGGGAATCATCATTCATGATTTGGTAAATATTATTAAGCACTTACTACATGCTAACCCTGAATAAGATGCTCATAAAAAAGCTTAGATTTTTTTTTTTTTTTTTTTTTTTTTTTTCAGAAGTGTAAAGCCATGTCAAATACAGGTTAGGGAATCATCATTCATGATTTGGTAAATATTATTAAGCACTTACTACATGCTAACCCTGAATAAGATGCTCATAAAAAAGCTTAGATTTTTAACGGAGGTGGGGGAGAAAGAGAATTTTCAAATAAGTACGTAATATTACACAGAGACATTAAGTAGGGTGGTGTGGAAGAGAGAAATAGAGGGCCACTTGAGATGGGGAAGCTGGGAAGGGCTCTCTGAATGACAAGGAGGTGGGATATAGAGATCCAGAGATCAGGAGGGAGGGCGCTGCAGTCAAGGCTTAGATTTTTAACGGAGGTGGGGGAGAAAGAGAATTTTCAAATAAGTACGTAATATTACACAGAGACATTAAGTAGGGTGGTGTGGAAGAGAGAAATAGAGGGCCACTTGAGATGGGGAAGCTGGGAAGGGCTCTCTGAATGACAAGGAGGTGGGATATAGAGATCCAGAGATCAGGAGGGAGGGCGCTGCAGTCAAGGCAAGAGGAAAGACCAGGAAGAAGGATTCTGGCCAAGCATGGTGGTGGGAAGTGGGAAGTGTGCTGTGAGATGAGATGAGAACAGTCACCAGAGGCCAGGGCGGACAGGTAGGCATTACCTAGCGAGACTAGTACAGATCTCAGCTGAGGGTCATGGCAATAGGATCAAAAGGAAGTTAGGAGATCAGCCTAGGAAAACACAGTAAGAAAGAAGAGGGCTGGAGCCAGAGGACAGGCAAAGGGAAAAAATTCCACCAAAGAGACTGAGAGCTGGAGGGGAAGGAAGCCTGAGCTCCTTAGTGAAGGAGTGGTCAATGTTAAACTGCTAGTGAGAAGGTGGAAAATGAGCCCTGGATTTAATCTTGGATTCAGTGACAAGGAAGTCACTGGTGACCACCTAGAGCCCTCTGAAGATAGATCAGATAGACAGCTGGAAGGCAAATGGGAGGGTCGCTGCCAGTGAACACAGAGAGTGTAGTCATGTCTTTCAAGAAGCCTGGACATGCAAAGGAAGAGCCACAGCAGCAGCTGGGTGAGGAAGAAGCTTTCGTGAGTTTGGTTTGCTTCTGATAGAAATGAGTGACCGAAGCATATGTAAACCATGCTGGAAAGAAACAGGAGAGTAGGTGCAAAATCGGAGGAATGGCTGCTAGGAAGGCAGGTGGACAGGATGCAGAGTCCAGATGGAGAGAATTGCCAGCCGCAAATAAGAGAAGGAAAGTTCTGGATATGAAGTAGAAGAATGGGGTGGTGGTGGTGGTGTTAAGCCTGTAGGTGTGATTGTTCTAAGCTGTGGTAATTCCTTTACTTGTTTCTTTGAGGGAAGATACAGGACATCTTTTGAGAGAGGTGTGGGCTACCATGTTTGGAAAAAGCAGAGGATGGCTTGGTAAATGGGAGTGTGGACTGGAGAGTGGGAAAACACAGAGGACTTAGCAGAGTGTCTGTAATGGTCCTAAGCTACAGAACTGAGGTGTATTCTAGACTATTTCACCACTCCAAACTTAAAAGGCCCACTTTCAGCAGAGAAAACTGAAACATGGAGGAAAAGTAACTTATAAAAAAAATCACAGCAGAGTTTGTTTGGGATGAGCTTGTAGGTCTCCCTATTTCTTCTGCTTGGCCCTCACTTACTAAGTGCCAGGCACTGTGCTGAGCAATGAAGGCATGAAGAATCAGATGTGGATCCTGAAGCAGACAAATAGCAGGTAATTTTACACAGCAATGTGACAATGGTAGGGACGCCACCCCTGGGATCTGCTGAGTTATATTCCAACAGGTGTAGCAGAATCAGAGGTCTTCCACCTGTCAGGCCGGGCAGGGTTGCTTCCCCAGGAAAGCCTTGTGCTCTAGGAGATCTCTCAAATCAGGATTCACTGTTACAGACAGCAGCCAGAAGAAAGGTTATCCCTGATTATCTAAAAGTGAGTGGCTGCCTAAATAAATTAATCACGAGCCAAGCAGGGCAGGCAGCTGTGCTACCGAAGAAAAGCTCCAGACCAGACTCAAGGATTGTATAAGGTGAGTGAAGTTTAATCTAGACTCTGAAACCGTGTACCTGTGACCTTAGGCTGGTCACTTAATTTATCTGTATCCTGCTCACCATGACCTCCATAATGTATCTTAAACCTGGCCAGTTTTTTCTGTATCTCCTGTCCTCCTAGTCTACAGCAGCACAAACTCTTCTGGCGAGTAGGGACTCATTTCTCTAATTGCTGTCTCTGTGATCACTCCTCTACCTGAAGACCTCCACTGCCTCTTCTGTGAGTGGAGTAAACCCGAGCTGTTTACTGTGGCCTTCACAGCCCTACATGTCTGGCTTTCATCCACCTTCCTGACTTCACCCACCTCCAGCCACTTTAGCCTTGAGCTTTGTCGGTCTTGAGTTTTCCGGTCTTTGCACCTGCTACGTATTCTGCCTGATTCACCCCTCTTCACACCTTCCCAGGGCTGGCTCTTCTACCTCCGGCTCCCAGCCTGACTGTCACCTCCTTAGGCCGGCCTTTGTTACCAGCGCCCTCTGGCTGACACAGTCCTCTTAGCCCTACCACATGATGTAGTGAAGCTCACAGTACCTGAAACCACCTGACTCATTGTGGATGCATTTGTTGTCTGCCCCTAGAACCTGCTCAGATCACAGGGTCTGCTCAAAATGGTAGGGAGACAGATGACCCCCTGTCTCTCTGCCTGCCCTCCCAGACATGAGAAAGGACACTGCTCCTAGTGACCTTCAGCTGGCCTTCGTCCCATTAACTGCTCCAGGCACAAAGTGAGAACCGTGAAACTATGTCCCCAGCCCTTGCTGCTGTCTGCATGAACAGTGATCCTTTCTTATCTCCATGCCTTTGTTCAAGATGCTTCTGGCTCCTGAAGTACCTCTCCACACACCTGCATCTTCGGTCTGAAGCTTCAAGATCCAGCTCAAGGAGCTCTTTCCCAGGAATGCTTCCCTCGCTTTCTAGCTGAGGACATCCTCCTCTCCTGAGAACTCCCAGCAAGCTATCTGTCCCTCTCACATGCTAATTCCTTGAACTGCACGCGTGTCTACAATCCTCTGTCCTGTTCCATGTGAGCTCTTCAGGGACATCTGACATATTTTCTCCTGCGCCCCTGTGCCCTGTCCCCAGAGCCTGGCATACAGGAGCTTCAGTAACTGTTCACTAAATTAAACTGTGCCCCATGCATTCCTTCGAAGTAAAGGACCACGTCTCAGCTGTCATATTTCCATTCCGTGACCTACCTCTGACAATGCTTAGTTTGTGAGGTGAGAGGGGTGGCTTTGGGACTGCATCCTTCTTTTTTTTTGTGGCGACTCCTGTGACGCTTCTGTTTTTCAGAACATCTGTTCCCCAAATCATGACTGCCAAGTTCTTCGTGTACTTGGAATCTCCTTGGGTTACTTGCAGCTGGTGCCATTTCTCCTCATCAACCCAAATCCCGCTTCCCAGATGGACCTGAAAGGGACAAGAATGTCACACCTGTTTAGTCTGGTAGCAGTGAAGCAGGAAGCTACTTTTGTCCTTTACAAAGCATCACTGTACAACTGTAAGGGATTCATGCTACAGATACTCTCTTTAAGGGTAATTATAATAGCTGTCATTTACTGAACACTTGTAATGTGCCAGACTGATTCTAGTGCTATATATTCACTATCTCAAATCTTCATGGCAAGCTTGGACAGAAAATATTATGATACCTTTTCAGTTCAGATAAAAAAGTCAGATTGGGGAAAGGGAAATACTTACCAGAAGCCACTCAACTCCTCAGTGCCAGAGCTGGAATTCTAAGCTATCCTTACATTATCAGGGCCTGCTCAGAGCCTGACCAAGTCTCAGAACACATGCACTTAACTCCTTCGTCTATTACACTCTAAGACAGCGATGGCAAACCTTTTAGAGAAGAGTGCCCAAACTACAACTCAAAATCCACGTATTATGTTGCAAAGTGCCAATGCTTTAATTAAACCTGAATACTGAGGTTTTAGTTTAGAGAAAAAAAAAACCCTCAGACTTTACATTAATAAGTTTTGTCTTAAAAGAGAAATAAACAAAACGTGTGCCGTAGGTTCACCACCACTGCTCTGGGAAGACTGTCTCTCTCAATGTGAACATTCAGGGACACATATCTTCCTAACACAATAGAGGCTGCAGGCAAGCAACTACAGAAATTGCTTCTCCTTGGACCTCTCTCCCACATATTCTGATTTATTTGGTCTGAGTGTGGTCCAGATGCCAGGATAATCTAAAGCTCCCTGGATATTCTAACTCAGAGCTTAGTCTGAAAACCACTGAGCGCTGGAGGGAGGAGCATCTGGCCAGGCTGTGCCTCCTCCAAAGAGTGTTGTTGTATAACCCACCCCCCAGCCCTGAGCCCCCAGCTCTGAGCGTTAGTCTCTGATCCGTGGAATGTGACAATTGGACTTCATCTCAAAGTTCATCCTTAAACCTCAGAACACCTATGAGTTTAACAAATTAAACCCAATCAAAATGTAGCTAGTTTAGTTCTGACAGCACTGAACCCAAGAAACACAATCTTGTGCTCTTTACTGAGGGAAGCAGTCAAAATGCTGTAGTGCAGAGCAAATAACTTACTATATTCTTATGCTCCCAGAATGCTCTAGTGATAAGCTTCTAAATTTTGTTCTCCTTTCTGCTTTTTAATAACTTTCAAACCATTTACTAATGATCATTTAAAAAATAGTTTGAACTTTTACATTGCCTTAGATGTTGTGCTTTTGCTGAGTCTATGAAGGGAGGAAATGGCTTCTGTGGGATGGAAGAGAGGGAGCTGCTAATAAACTGAACTTTCCAGGGGGCAACAGAATGCTCTATGAAAGATGCCTGTTTTCAGAGAGACCCACAGCTTATCACCACTGCGCACTCAGGAGATGTCTCCAGAGAGGTCTGGTCTAAGAATACACACTCTCCCAAAGTGAGGGCAAACCAGAAGACTCCTTGCTCCAAAATGATTAAAGATCTTTCTCCTGAAGAGTGGTTTGAAAAGGGAGGTGGGCAGCGAGATGGACAGAAGGGCAGCCAGCAAGACTTCTTCCTTCACGGTTTAATGAGGTTTTCCAAAAATACAGAATGCAACCTTCAACCATCAGTAAGTAAACAATCTTCCTGCCACATCTGACTCTACACTTCCTTTTGCTCAATCTTTTACTTAGACCTCTGCAAGTGATCAGATAACCAGGTCTGTGTGGTCCCTCTGCTGCAAACTTCAGTAAGGCAAAGCAGCCCTGGGGTGTGATGTGCTGCCTGGGGCTGGTAAGAAAACACTGACCCCCAAGGTCAAGCTCTGGCTTTTTGCCTGCAGTTGAAAGTTTAAGTGGGTAGTCTTCCAGATCAGGCGTGCTGAGGATGGTGCCCTGTTGCTCCCTGATAGACCCTGCATCACCTCTGTTGATGAAGCCACCCACACAAGCTTCCCGTGATAGATGAAGAAGAAGGACCTTTGAATTAGATTAAATTCTGAATTAGAAAACTTTAGAGGTGGAAGGCAAGTTCAGTGTTCTAAACATCTCTGTACTCTTCTATCCCAGGCCTTGTTTTCCTGTAATCTTTTAACTTACTACTCTTAAAAGAGAGAAGACATTCATTTTAGCCAGTCTTCTAAATGAGAAAGGGGACACTGATATTGTTGAATAGCTGTAATAAACTCAATTTATTTAATCCTCACAATGACCTTAAGAAACAGAAATAAAGGCCAGAAACGAAGCTCACGATCACTGCACCTGCCTGGCAAGTGCAAGGTCCTGAGTTCAATTCCTAGTACTGTAAAAAAAAAAGAAATAGAAATATATAGAAAATATTTTTTCTTATTTATAGACATGAATAGAGATTGAAAGGGACTAAATTACCTTTCCCAAGACACAAGATCAGTAGATTCTGAAATCGAGATTCAAACCCAAATCTGTATAACCCAACTCACACTCCCCCAGCCTTCCCTGCTGTCACCAGTGTCACAGTGGTGTGGATGCAGGTGAAAACAGCAGATCTAACAAAGGAGCGCACAGTTTCCCTCTTGTGTTTTCCTCTCCTGTGCTGGCCCCCAGGGCAGTTCTCCACTACAAACAAGAAAACCAAGGCAGAGGCCATGGACTGGGCTCGATTTCTTTCTTCAGCTGCTGCTTCTTCCAGCCCACCTTGTAATCTGTGACATTAACTTCCCTAGAACACTGCTTTCCTTCTTGGACTAGATGACTTCAGCAGTCTTCCAAGTGTTTTTATACAGAACCTTTGGAATTCTGAATGGCTCAATTTCTGTCCCATCAGATTCTTCCTCCTAAGCCTGGCTTTAAAGCCCAAGGGGCTCGCACTCTATTCTGTCTGCTAACCTTTACCTCCCTATTGTGGCCATCACTCTGGCTCCCCTCCTCCTGTCTCCCATATGCTCTAACAGAAAGAGGATTGCTCTGGAGCCGCCAGCCCTGGGTGTGAGACTGGCTCTTCTACCTACTAGTTGGTTTACACGCGTTAGACATTTTATTTCCCTGGGCCTTACTTTTCCAAATGTACAATTGGCAGATCATCACCTAATTCACAGAGCTGTTTTGAGGATTAAAGGAGATGACTTAAACATCAAAAGGACAGCACACCAATAACTACAACTTCCTTGGCATTTATCCTCTATCTGTGTCTCTGATCACGCCACACCCCATCCAGGAATGAATGCTTTCTTTATGCCATGAGCTTTCTAATATTTCCAGTCCAGCCTAAAATCTAGGCAAGACTGCTCAAGCATTCCAGGGCTCATTTCCATCCCTTTTGGACTTCTAGTCCACTGGCAACCATCCCCACCTCATGCAGCACTTCATCTTGGTGAGAAGGAGTGGAAGCTTTGCTTCTTCTGTCCCTTACAAGGTAATCAGGACTAGTCTGAGCACAAAGCAGTAAGCAATTGTTGCGTATATTAAATATGCCTTAATGGTATCGATTTTCAGGGCTGCTGTTCCTTAGAGAAGTAAGTCTTTTCTGACATTCACTCAAGAACATGGTTGACTTTACAGCACAGAAAGAAATAGCTCTGGGTAAGACCAATCATAGGTATAATGCTGGATCATTTGAAATAAGGGTTTCTGGAGTCAGGAAACTCAGAGTCACTTGGAGCAATGTGCAGCCTTTGGGGGCACAGCAGGATAGATTAGCATGGGCACTGGCCCAGGAACCAAGAGATCTGGCTTCTAGTACCAGTCTGCATAATTGTAGACGAGTCCTTTCTCAGGATATGTTCAGGATATGTTAAATTAGAGTATTTAAATTTTAATAGACTCTGCAGGTTTATGATTAAATGAGCTTTTGAAATAAAACATCTTAGACAATGAAAAGCAATGCATGTTATCAGAATTAGAAAGTAATCTGTATAGTAATCACTATTCACACAAACCATAGCATACTACTTGACCAAAATGTTAACATTATTTATCAGGGGAAACTATTAAAAATGTGGCATCTTGTAGGATGGGAATTGATCAAAATATTTCTTTGTGAAATGTTTCATGGAACAAAATTCATGTCCTTTTAGGAAACAGAGCTCATTTCAGTGCAGCAGCTCTTGGAGAAATTAAGACCTCTGTTCACACGCAGAGAAGGAAGGGTCAGAAAAGACAGTAGAGCCAAGAACAATGAAGATTACTTCTGGGATGTTGGAAACGCTGCTGAGAGAAGCTGCCATCCATTTCCAGTGTGTCTGTTTTTCTTCTATCTTGTTTAATAAATCTCTCTGCCTAAGTACACATTAGTTGCATACAAAAGCCAGGTTAGTTTTATAGCAACATGCTAATAAAAAGACAAAATACTCTAGGTGTTTTCAAGACCCATGGTTTAATTAATGTGTAAAGAAATTAAATAAGTTTTAAAAGACCCATATTCATGAAGAAGTATTCTACCTTTGCAAAAGCAGTCCCCTATATTGCTCAGAAACTGTACATCAGCCTTCAAAGTCAGGAATAAATGCATCTCTCTCGGAAGCTACTTTCAGAAAAACTCTCCAGTCACTCCACAGTGTGGTCATCACTAAAAGGAAATTAACAAATGCAGAATAATCCTCTCTTCCTTTCATCTGGGGAATGTTCACAAAACTTAAGATAGGGAGTATGAGTAAAAAAAGGAGGTGGGGGGGCTACGGAGACTGTCAGTCCCAATCACGTTTCAAGATGAGGACACTGAGGCCCAGAGAGTCGAAGCATCTGCCCACAGTCACACAGACAGGACAGAGGTAAGAGTGATGCCACGAACCCAGGCTCAGGCTGCTACTTCCGCGTGGTCACGCCACCTTTCCTCTGCAAGGCTGTCTTTGAAGGCGAGGTGAGTGCAGGGTCCGTCTGCCCTGCCTCTGCAGGGAGAAGTGCTCAGTGCCAGATGCATGGAGTGACGGCACATCCAAGAGACTGAAGACTAACAAGTTCCACTTTCTTCACTTGACAAGGTTTGCTCTGACTCACACTGGCCAGTTGCAGGGATACATCTGGGCAAGCCCAAATCAAACTACTTTTTCTTTTCCATCAGCCCAACAGGGAGCAGCACCAAATAAATGGAGACCTTCTGAAGCATAAAGCAAACAAATGAACTGGCACAGATGATGCTTGGGAGAAGCAGTTGGTGATGTCTGTACCACGTGCCGTGGTGCAGAGAATCTAACACTTACACTGATTTAACCAGAGTTTAGGAAAGGGTCCTGACAGATGTCTTCAAAGATGAATTCATTTGGGGGTTAGGAGGATGTCAGCAGTTTCCTCTTCTGCCCTGTGCTATGTTGTCATGTAACTGACTCTAAGACTTCCAAAGGCTACTCTAGTACTTTTCATTCTATATCAATATAAATGATGCCAGTGCTTACATTTTCTTTCTGGATTTGTTTCCAAGGTTAATATAAGAAAATTTGAGGGACTACATGTGGCCCTACGACTGTGGGCTGGCTACTGCTGAAGACACAGCATAAAGGCAGCTTAGGGACAGGGAGCATGTCTTATTTCACCCAGGCATCCCTGGTATCAGGCACAGGGCATTTGTCAGCAATAAATGCACATACATTAAGTTATAATCTGTAAGTCAGGTTTTTCACATCCAGTTCACCTTGTGAACTTCAGGCACCCTATTTAATAGGAAGGAAAGACAAATTTCATCAAACTGTCCTGGTAATCTTTTTGTTGTTGTTAAATCTGTCTCACTATTAAGCTATTCTAGAATGTCAGTTTAGCTTTGCAGTGCTTTGGCCCAATAGGAAACAAAACAAGGAAGAATCCCAACAAGCCTATACTAATTATAATACAAATTCCACAAATAGTCACTCAGGACCAGGCCAACCAGTCAAGCTGGGTTTCAAAAGTTCCCATCATACTCTCCAACTTGCCTCTCACTAACAAACACTTGCAGGGAATGGATATTGAGCTTAAAACACTACCTTGCCATTGTCTAGGATATACTTGTCCATGACAGGTGCAGGAGCCGGGTAATAGGACGACGTATTTGCTTCCTCACTGAAAGTGCTCCGTAACTCCGGCTCGGGGTCGAGACATTCTGACTTTACTTTTTCCAAGTCAATGGCAGGACCTAGGCAGTTAAGAAAAGAGATCTGTCTGGAACTCCAAAGAAAATAAAAAGCAAATATTTTAACTATGCATCTATCAGCACATAGTGGTACCAAAAAATGCTAGCTTATTTTTGTCTTAAACCCAGACTTGAAAATAGTATGAGGTATAAATATCACCAGAGAAAAGGTGGAAAAATTGGAAAACAAGAATGCACTAGACTCAGAGTATGAATGAGGAATATTCTCCTAGGGTGTCATTGTCTACATGGAAAAGTAGGAGATGCAACTTGCTACACAGGAAAGAGATTCTATTCAGACTATGCTGGAGGAAAAGAGGTGAAAATTACTGGAATACAGAAATTGTGTAATTGCCAAAAGCTCCAGGTTTGTAGCCTACAGTGGGGAGAGCCTAGGCAAAAGGGAGGTTAGGAAAGCTATGGGGAGAAATACAAAGACCTTTCCCTCCCTAGGACCTAATGTCTAGACAACATTCCAAATAAGAAATTAAAAATACAATACCGATTAAACCCCTGATTGCCTGATCTAGCAACTACTCTGATTTTTATTTTAATGCAATCAACACAAATTACATGAGGTTTAAACAGTGAAAGGAAGCTGGGTAAATGGTTGTAGTTTCTATGAAGGATTCTTTCTTCTCCATTAGCTTTTTTAAATGATAGGCTATTTTTAAAATCACCTATTGTGTCTTGATTGCCAAAGGGCAGAGAAACAGGATGAAAATGGGTAAATAACGCTAAACGACTTGATTAATTTTTGTGGTCTAACAACTCCAAACCCAGCAGAGTTCAGCATGCTGGAAATTCTCCCAATGCAAACACTGCAAGAATTGATGCGGATCAGGGAACTGCATATGGCTGTGCATATAACTTAAGTAATCAGTGAATTCAAAGTTCAACCTCTTATACTAACATGTAGAATATTGGATACAAAACTGTTTATATACTAAATCCTTGCACACCAATCACCAATATGGTTGCAACTTTATGTTCAGTTACCACATCCTGGCCTTTGGGTGGTGGCAGGGATGATATTGGTATGTTTGTTACTAAAAGTTCTTATGAGAGAGCTTCCTAGAAGGAAAATATCACACTGCGAAGCAGAAACTCTGTGTGCTACAAAGATTTAAGTACGAATTTCATACAAATGTGAATACAAGACGGCTAGGGAGCAGAGCAGCATAGATAAAAGAGCTTACTTAATCTTGGTAGAGAGATTTTGGGTCCCATTCTTGATTCTGCTATATTTTAATTGAATGATTTCAGGAAAATCAACTACAGATGCAACAGATGGTAAAGTGAAGGACCAATAGTATCATAACTATTCTGATAGTATCTCCCAAGAGTGTGTACCCTTTTCAAGGGCTGGGTATAGGTTTTATTCTTTCCATTGTTCCCAGAACCTCACACCAAATTAGTACTCTGAATGTTTACTAACTGCATAAAAGAATAGCAACAATAAATGAATAATTCTAAAGTTTCAGAAGCAGATGCCAAAGTATCTCCTATCTGTATGTTGTTTCAGGTTGGGTTTCTGAAACACAAACAAATTTAAGGGAAACATTTGATATTTCCTTGTATTTGAAGAAGGTAATTAGTTTGCCTTAAAGTACATGGGTGAGTTGCTATCTCAGATTTCTTCCTGTGCTTGTGTTTGGTGACAGAAAAAAAAAAAAAAGAGTGGACTAAGAGGAGAAGATGATGCAGCATCTGGCCTTTGAGTCTTCTTTGGCAAGATAAGATCCCCTTTGTAAAGTCTTGTCTTCCTCCCATGAGAGAAGGTCGTTGGACAAAAGAAAAGATCCAGTCTAGCTGTGACTTCAATCTGGTTCTCTCCCATCCATCTCCATAGTGGTGCCACAGTAAATTCTTCAGCCCTTGAGAGGGAAGAGTGAGTTGGTGAGGGTTGGGTGGATCTCTAGTAGGCTGGGGCAAAGATGAGAAAATAAAGCCCTTTTAGATGGGTAGGGGTTCTTGGTGGCAGAGGTGTGGGTGAGTGGGGAGCTCTTCTCTCAAATGTCCATAAATTTTCTATAGTCCCCGAAATAGAAATCAGGACAATGTAGAAATCAGAAACATCTTGTAAGAAGAATGGGCAGTTCAGATGGCTGTAATTATAGACAAGGGAATCTGCCTCCACACTATCTACAGTGGGGACTAGGGTGCAGGGTTAAGACAGTCACCTCTCTGGCTCCATGCCCTTTGGTCCCCTCCCCAAAGTCAGACTCCACTCCAGTTACAGCAGCCCGACCAGATCCACACACGATATTCTTTTCTGCCTCACAGACTTTGCTTGTGTCACTCTTCAACTACCTGTCAAAGCTGCACTGGTAATTCAAGGTCTGGCTCAAATGCCATGACTCTGTCCTATCTCCTCAAATGGAGGTAAATGATTCTCTCTCCCCCTTGGCTTAGGATTTGATCAGAGCCACTGGGGTTCAAATACTGGGCATGCCACTTCCTGTTTAGGTAAGTTGTGATCTTGAATATCAGAGCCCTCCCACCTACCCCAAACCCACCAGACTTATGGCCTCATTTATTTTTCTTTCAGTCTCTAACTAGGCTGTGAGGCTGGAGGCAGCAGGGCTGGTGTGTTTTTATGTCAGAGAACAAAGTTTGGCCAGCATTTTGTTCAAATTCAACTCTCAGGAGACAATGTCCACATAAATAATTATTTAACTTCTCTGACCATCTTGCCTAACCTGAATGGAGAGACAACAGCAACTTGGCAGAATTGAAAATGCAAGATTTGACCACATATATGAGATGGTTACTTCAGAGTCTGGCATGGTATGGGTGCTGGGTAAACCAGCACTCCACTGCCCATTTTAACACACGTTATACTTGTGTGCTTTTGTTTCTGCCAGACTGTGAACTCTGTGAACCAAGGTCTGCTTTTATCCCCAGTGCCTAGCATAGGCCTGGCACACAGTGTTTCTTTGTAATCTACCCACTACACACACACACACACACACACACACACACACACACACACACACACACACACACATTGATAGGGTTTGGTTAAGCAGCAAGTTTATCTTACTGGGATCTTCAGTGCTTGGAGAGTACAATTTAACACCTGCTTGCCACTTTTAGTAACAGCTTCCTCCTCCCAGGGCCTTATACACAGAAGGCACCTGGCACTCCATCCTCAGAGAAGAGGCCCACTAGAAAAACCAGTAGAAGGCACATCGTGAAAGGAACCTTTCAGCAGACTGGGGTGTGAACCCAGCCGTGTGACCTTAGACAGGTCACTTCAGCTCTTTGAACCTCAGCATCCTACCCGCCAGTATTTCTAAGAGCCACACGCAGCAGGCTGCTGGAGCCCAGGACTGAGGCTCAGAGGATGGCAGATGAATGCAGGGAGGCATCAGTCAATAAAGCACAGTGCTTGGCACGGCAGAGCCAGGAATAAAAGGAACAACAACAAAAAAATGACATGTGGTTTCTTTGAAGAGAGGAGGGAGAGCCTCTGGCACTTTTAATTTTGGGGGGAGGTCACTTCATTGCAAAATTTAGTAGGATCCACTCCCCAATGTTGGCAATTTACATCTCATTACAACAAATGCTTCAGACTGCTGTTTTGCTTTTTAAAAATTTCTGAGGCATTGTTCTCTTTCAAACACGTGTGACCAAATTAGCCACAATAATAAGCACTTGCATTAAGAGAAAGTATTGTGAGATTTGGCACAGATATTTTAGGTAACAAAGGAACCTTTTTCACTCTGTGAGAAGAGTAGGAATAAAAAGAAAGGCCTCTTGATCCACTTGCATTTTGCTATTGACACACACTTGAAGTTTATTTTGGGGAAAATATACCTTTCCATGGAGAGAAACCTCTTAGCTGAGTAAAGGCAGCCTTTAAGTGAGTATAAAGGGTAGTGCTTGACTTTTCCTTTAATCATTCATGAGCCCATTTATCACATAACCTCTGCCTTGCACATCAAGATCTATGCTCTGTGAGTCCCTGCAGTGGGGATGCAGGGACAAATAAAAGGTATTCTAGCTCTGGGGAAGTTCATAATTTAGCATGTGAAACACTGTGACAACGGATACTAGTGCCTGTGACTCCATGGACGAGCAATGGATTGAATGTTAGAAAAACCTGTTACAAATCCTGACTGTATTTACCCCTTGAAGCCCTTGTGGCTTCTCCCAGAAGATGGGGATGATGAACAGAGAAAGGGGCTTTGTTGGCACAACAAAGAGATGAAAGGGCCGGGGATTTAGCTCAGCTGTTTGGTGGCCTGCCTTGCAAGCACAAAGACCCGAGTTCAATCCCCGGCACCAAACAAACAAACAAGCAAAACAAACAAACAAAAGATATGAAATTATACCATTATCCATTCTTGTTTTATCTTAAATTGGACAAATACAATTATTTCTGAAGAGCTTTTGCAAAAGTTACTGTTCATGTGACTTCTGGGAGTTTAGACATCAACTGTTTCTTCAAAAAATAAAAAAATGCTTGGCACTAAATATCATCTCTGATTTCTCATGAAATAGAAACGTTAATGATACCAGGTCTTTTAAAAGGATTGAAGCCTCCTATTCTAGTAGTCAACAGGAGGTTTTTCTGTTACGGGTACAATTCTAGTTTTTCATAAATGCAAATTAAATCAAGTCATAATGCTTAAAATACAGAACAGCTACTGTGGTATTAAGGCATTCTAGATTTAATAGACTAAAGATGCTTCTGCATTCTGAAGAAGAATATGAACACAGAAACACCATAACAATGAGAGAGAAAAATGATGCAGCACTGAGCAGGTAGATCTGTCTCCGTGGACCTCACCACTCCCTCAGGAAGGCCTCAGTCACTCTCACATGCTCTGTGGCTATGGGTCTCCTCATGTCTGATAAGGGTGGAGACAAATTTGTTCTCATTTCTTCAATGAGAACTACTATCTACCTACCAAGTGCCAGGCCTGGGGTAGGTGGCCTTGAGCGATTCACAGTCCAGCAGCAGAGAGAAACAGGCAGCATATTGTTACTACCCCATGTGGCCAACAAGGATTTGGATGAAGAATTCGGAATACAAGAAAATGAGGTTGGAGGACACAAGAAGGCTTCAGGATAATAAGCTTCTGAGCTGGAGCTTGGAGGCAGGGCAACAGCTTGCTAAGTGGAGGCCCTATGGTAGGGTAGTGATCATACGGTGAAGACAAGAGGAACAAAGCACAGGCTCCCTGTCTGACCATGACATATATGCACACATTTGGGGAAGGAGCGGTCACAGCTGGCTAAATGATCCTGGAAGGCTCTGACGGGTGAGTGTTGTCTGGAGATGTGATCGGAGTAAGAGGCAGCTCTTCAGGTACTTATTCCCCTCCATCTCCATTTTCTGAGTGTCTTATATGAATGGTAGTTGGAATAGGCTTTGCTGGGCAGAAGTAGAAGCAACTGTAGCATGAGGCCTGGGCTGGGAGAGTCCCAGTACAGATGCCTCTAGGGTGGGTCCATTCTGTTAGGGGATCTGGACCAGACAGCATAGCAGAGTGGGAACAGCCCCAAGGGAAGGGGTGAAGCCCTGAAAGAAACAAGTGATAGAAGCAGACCTATGCCCCCGGTTTGGGGGCTCAAAGATTTCCCCCTATTTTAAGAAATTGTAGATGTCTACTTTAAAAGATATGTTTAAAGAGAAGGACAGGTGAATAAAACTGAATATCTTGTTAAGTACCTTCAAAGAAACGTGTCTCTTTTTTCTCTGTAGCACTTCTCACCTAACGCATGATTATTTGTTTAACATCCTTGTGTTATGTGCATGTGAATGCCAAGGGGATGAGGCTAGGACAATCATAGTCATGTTCAAGGCTACATCCCCAGCACCCAGCACAATATGCCCTGTCATATATCAAACAATTACTAAACAAGTGTTGAGTGAAAGAAGTTACTCCTCGTGGCAGTTCTGCAAAATCAATATTATCTTTATAGAGACTTAGTGAGGTAATTTGTCAAAAGTTACACAGGTAGTGAGTGCTCCAATCCAGGCCTGTCAACTCCAAAGCCTTGCATTTTCTAGCATTCTTCACTTTGTCAGCCAACTGCACTTCTCAGAGATTTCACAGACTTCTCACCTAATGTTGATTCTGTCTCAACAGAGTCATCTCTGGGCTCTCTGCCCTTCCTAGAGGGTCTGCGGTAACTTCCCAGTTGTGAGGGGGAACACAGGGCATGGGTATCACCAGGATTCATCTCATCTCTAGCTCTAAGCCTATGCTTGGCCAGCTGGTGACCAGGGAGAACTGGACTTGTTCTTCATCCATGTTTCTTCTACTGTCCTCCTGCCCACCTATCTGGCCTGATAGCATCCAGATGGTGGTGAATGTGCAGGATTGCATGGCTTGTCCTACTGAGGAAGCACTGGAGGTCCCACACGTGCTTAATGCATGTAAAATGTTTACTTGTCTTTGGTCCTGAAGCAGAACTGTCTGGGTTGGATCTAAGGCTTTGTAGTGGAAATAGGGATGGGAAGCATAAGGGCTGTGTTTAGGTACCTGAGGGGCACTGTTGTGGGGGACAATGTGCATCTAAGGGCAAGAGTTCTAGGGAGGCAGAATTCAGTCATGTGACTGATGTCTCTCCAGCAAATCTATCCGTAACCCTGGACTTGGTTGATACTTCCTTTAGGCTTTGAGTCCTTCCTGCTAAATGGTTGTGGACTGATTTGCTGGTTGAAAAGCAGCAACTCAATGGCTGACAGACTGTACCCCAGGTTACTCCAATGGGAAGAAGACCCCATGAATCACTTGCAGTAGAGGCCAGTGCAGTTCCTGCCTGCCTCTGTAGCTTCACCAGTCCCTCCAACCCACTTTCTCTCTGGCCAGTTCAGCCACATCCTATTTCAGTTCCCCGAATAAGCCTGCTTCTCCTA